CTCTGTTGAGGCGCGAAGGGGAAAATGGGGGTGGGTGGGGGCGCGGGAGAGCAACCCGAGTTACGGAGGGGAAGGAGGGAAGGAGGGGCGAGTGAGTCACTGTGGACGGCGAGGCAGGAACGAGCGGTGACGTCATTACTTATCGAAAGAGTGCGGGGAGGTCACCCTGGGAAGCCGTCATCCCCTCGGAAGGAGGGGGGGCGCCCTTCCCCCTTCGCTCTAGCGCTTTGCAGGGGCGAGGGCGCCATCGACGAAAGGAGCAGGGGAAGGGGTTGCCGTCCGGCACTTTCTACCATGTTTCGCAGTCGCCCCCCCAACGTCCCCGATCCCCGGAGCGTTCCCTCCCAAACGGACACTCCTTTTCACATCTCACGCTAATCTGTCGTTGCCATTTTTAATTCCTCACAGGCCGTTTCGAGAACGCCGCCCGATGCTGCGAACAACCGTTACATATTTTTTTTTTACAAACGGAACGATGATGTGAAACCAGATACTCGGAATAAGTGGTAAAAAAATGTAAAATAGCAACGATCCGAAGTCCGCTGCATCAATTTTATCTGGTATACCTTATTACGCATACAAGAAGGCGAGATCCTTCACAGCCTCCGAGGCTATTGGAAAAATGAAGCTCCACAACTTCATAAAAGCTTATTAACACACATTCTGTATCTGGGGGATGGCCACCAAGACCACAAGTTTTTTCTTTTTTAAAAAAACCCTCCCGCTGTCCATTGTTGGGGAAAATTCATTCATTCACCGGATGAAATACGTAGTGTGTCACAACTAGAGCAGGCTCAATGAATTCATGGTTTGTTTGTTTATTATTTATTATTTGAATTGCCATCCAAGTTTTTTTTTCTTTTTTGGACATCCTGGGTTTTAATGCTAATTGAACTGCGCAATTGCTCACTGGTTTAGATTTGATCCATAGGTCCCATCCAGCTCTGCCTTTCTAAGATTATTATTATTATCATTGGTTCTTTTTATTAGAGTTCTTGTGGGTGGGATTGGGTAGTTGTGTTTTAACTGGTGTTAATCTCCTGGAGTAGTGCTGTGCACTAAATGGGTGGGATATAAATGTAACAAATAAAATATAAATCAATACATGCAGTTGACTTTGTCATATGTTTATCATGATGTCTTATCCTGGACCCAGCTTTCTCTATGGAGAAGCAAATACCAGCCATGAGCAGGTCTACTGTTCTCCAACTGCTGCAGATTGCCCAGTTATGCCCTTACCTGGATAGGAAGTCTCTGACAACACTACTCCAGGCATTGGTAATCTCAAGGCTGCCCTTGATGATGACACAAATGTTTCAGGAGGTCTACAGTGGTTCTTAACCTTTGTTACTCGGATGCTTTTGAACTGCAGCTCCCAGAAACCCCAGTCAGGACAGCTGGTGGTTAAGGCTTCTGGGAGTTGCAGTCCAAAACTCCTGAGTAACCCAAGGTTAAGAACCAGTGTCTAGACCATGGTGGCCTGGTTAGTTTTCAGGTTTTCCAAATTTATTTGGAATGTTTAACCCCAATCTTGCATTGGCTCCTTGCAGGCTGCCCTGCCAAATTCAAAATGTCGATGTTGACATATAAGGCCCTGAACAGTTTGGGAACTCAATATCTGTCAGACTGTCTCTGCCTGAGAACTGCTAGACATGTCATCTCTTTCTCACAGGCCTTTTTGCTACATGTGCCTACACTGAAGCCCCCCCCCAAGACGTCGACTCGGAACCAGGCCTTCTCAGCAGTGGCCCCATCTCTGTGAAACTGACTTCCATCTGAGGTTTACCATCCTCTCCCCCCCCCCAGGACTTTTGCAAACTAGTTAAGACAGAGCTTTTTTAAAAAAATTTTTGGTAGTATTGCCCCTTGTGACGTTTACCCTGTGGCCCCTGCTTGTTTCACCAAACCCAGAGCTCATGAAGGTACCCCAACACGCCCTTTAACACACTGCCACCAGTTGTCTCTTTAGCAACCTACCGGTATATTCAGTACTGAACTTTTAAACAGAAACAGGTTTATTGATTACATGTTGTTTTAGGAATAGTTCTTAAGCACATTCTTAAAGTTACACAAAGCTTCAGTATTTTACTTTAATCTCTTCTATCTTAATTAATACAATCCACTCTGACTAATCACTCCTTAAACACCCTCCCTGCCTCGAACCCAAACTATCTTATCTCTTCTCTGTCTCTCTCCACTCTAGACTCTGACTCACCCTTCCGTTCTAGTTTCTCTGGCTCCGCCTCCCAACAGCTTCCATCGGTGCAGGCCAATATCATTATATATATATATGATATTGGCCTGCACCGATGGGAGCATCAGCCATATATAGGGCAGTGGCTTTTTACTGGGTGAGTGATAAACAAACAAGCCAGGCCCTCCTGTCTTCTACTGCCTCCCGGAGTTGTGTCAGGTTCATGTTGGTTGCTTCGCAGACACTGTCCAGCCATCTGGGTGAGTGATAAATAAACAAACATTATTGACAAAGGCTTTCACAGCTGGGATCTGATGGTGGTTGTGGGTTTTTCGGGCTCTTTGGCCGTGTTCTGAAGGCTGTTCTTCGTGGTGTTTCGCCAGTCTCTGTGGCCGGCATCTTCAGAGGACAAGAGTAGGAACTCTGTCCGTGCTCTCTTGCAATTTGTTGGATAGTTGAGTATTTAGAGCTGTGGGAACAGCTTTTGTCCTTTTCAGGAGATTGGGTGATTATGGTGATCAGCGTGTTTTTGTTGTGGATGTATTGTGATAAGGGGAAGAGATTATCTGTCACTGTGATTGATCGGTATCATTAGCTGGCCTTTTGTGTGCAGTGATCACTGGTCCTTGTGGCTGGGTAGTTTGTTGACCATTTGCAGGCTGTATTTTTCAGTGCTGGGAGCCAAGCTTTGTTGAGTTTTAGACTTTCTTCTTTTTTTCTTGAAGCTCTGCTGGTGTTTGTGGATTTCAATGGCTTCCCTGTGCAGTCTAACATGATTGCTGGTGTTGTCCAGTACTTCTGTGTTTTGGAATAGAATTACATGTCAAGCTTGTTTCAGGGCATGTTCAGCTACTGCCGATTTTTCCGGTTGTTTTAGTCTGCAGTGTCCCTCATGTTCTTTAATTCTGGTGTGGATGCTCTGTTTTGTGATTCCAATATAGACCTGGCCACAACTGCAAGGTATCCGGTATACTCCTGCAGTGGTGAGGGGGTCCCTTTTGTCCTTTGCTGACCGTAACATTTGTTGTATTTTTGTTGTGGGTCTGAATACCGTTTGTAAGTTGTGATTTTTCAAACGTTTCCTCATGCAGTCCATGACCCCTTTGATGTATGGCAAAAATACTTTATTTGTGGGTGGCTATTTTTCCTCTTCAGTTTGGTGTTGTTTTCTTGGTTTGATGGCTCTTTTGATTTCATTCTTGATATAGCCATTCGCCTGTAGAGCCCAATTCAGATGGTTGCGTTCAGTGCTGAGAAACTGAGCTTCACAGTTCCAATTTGCACGGTCTACCAGTGTTTTGATTATGCCTCTTTTTATTGTGGGTGGTGGTTGGAGTTTTTTAAATTTCCATGGTCAAGTGGGGATTTAAACCCAGTCTATGAGGCCTATTCTAACACAATCCATTACACCACACTGGACTGCAAGTTAGATTAGACCCACTGAAATCAATTAGACATAAATTCATCATGACTTGCTTAAGTCGAATTATGTGTATTAACCATAAGTTTGACTAAACCTGAATCCTACCTTTATTTACAAAATACAATTTTTAAAATTATATTTGAGTGCAAACCTATTTAGACTAGTAAAAAAACAATATGTCAGTGTGGTGTTCTCACACAGCATATCAGGAGTTAATATTCTGTAACACAAGCCAGGGGAAAACCTTGGAGTATCTTTTTCAGCAGAAAGGCAAGGTATATAAATACCAGTATTGGTGAAGATGCAGAAATGGAGAAGAAAGGGCAAGACGTATATCCCCCTATCCAGCTTTACAGGCCCATTTCTTTTCCCTTGCACTGAACAGGTGTTGCATATACCAGATAAACAGCCCCAGAGAACAGAACTTTTGCATTCCAACAACTTGAAGAACTAATATATTCCTTTGTGAGAATAATGAATCTCTTCCACAGCAGAGCACTATTGTTCCATTGCCTACTGCTCAGTGCAGCAAGGGAACACACACACATCAAATAGTGTGGCACAGGACATTACTTTGCTTGCACACTGATGAAGCTGAGTGGACCTGTGGAAAATAAAGGAAACCAATGAAGGGGCATGAGAGTGAAAAATCACAAAGCACATGAGTAGGAACACTTGTATAAATCATTAAGTTCCCCCAAGCACCCAGTAAGTGCAAAGAAAAAAAGAAGCACACCTGTATAATAGCTGCAATCACAGAGTTCTCAGAAGTATATCATATGCTAACAACCAAAAAAGCTGAGAGTATGAGGCTTACATGGGCATTTAGCCTGCTATTTGGTCCACTGGAGAGATGGGCTGGTTTACAGCTAAACATGGTAAGCAGATGATGTCTTTGCTAGAGGAAACCAGCTCGCTTCTCAGAGAGTCCTACTGGCAGTCTATGTATACACAGTCATAAGTCTAACAATACCAACATGGAGTCACACAAAGATGTTAGACATCA